CTGATTTGTGCACCGCTTGGAGGAGTTAATGTCAATTTGGTTTTTGTATAGCATACTTCTGCAACAATTTTAGCATTTAAACATAAATAAATTAAGAAGACCATGTTACTTGATTTTAATATCTGCAGCTGATCTTAAGAATATTATTTAAATTTACCAATTTTCTGTTGTGATGAACAAATTATAGGGATGAGATCGATGCTGAACATGGAGGAAAACCCAAAGAGGCGCCCCTTTTTCACCTTGGCAGACGATCTGATAGATGAAGAATTTTACGACGAACAATTGCTGGAAAAAGAAACACCGGCTCATTCCAGAGCCAGGTTAGTGACCTTCCTAGCAAGTTGATGTTCGTAAGTCGTATCATCAACGTATCTAACACCAAAATCCTTCAAGATATGGCATATTCACTAGCAATGCATCAAATCTCACTGCACTGTTATTAGCATCTGTCCCTCCTTTTTTGTTTCAAAATGTTAGAGAGTGTGAACGAATACTCTTATCTAATTAAATGAACTAAATCGTTCCAATCCTGTTGAAAATTTCCGCTTATTGAAAGAGAAAATTTTCTTCAATCTTGATGAACTTTGTTTAATTAGAAATTGATTATTCTGGGTACGTATATAATTGGCGGGGTCTTATCTCTTATGTCTAGGTTAACCTGTTGGAGAAGAACTTCCGAGGTGGAAAACAAGCTGGAGCCAGAGCGAAAGACCCAGCTCGCCAAAAAGCCCTGTCTACAGCCGAGGCAGGTCGTCGTTTGGTTTCAAAACAGGCAAGCTCGCTAGAAGACTAAGCAACTCGAGGGGGATTACGATGTCCTCAAATCTTCTTACGACTCTTTCTCCTCTGAATATGGTTCCATTGTCAAGGAGAATGAAAAGCTCAAATCTGAGGTAAGCTGTAAGAAGGAACCTGGAAAACAAGTCATAAATTTTGGGTGGGGTTTTTTTTTTGAAAAGAAGCATATCATTAAACTAAAGAAATATTTACAAAGTCATCTGCCCTAGGCATCCCATTCGGATAGGAGGGAGAATAAAAAAAATCCAGATCACGAGTTTTTGCTAGATGGGATACCTTGTGGGCAGGAACATTAAAGTTTCGAGATACAAAAAAAAAATTTACAAAAGTCCTTCGAACAGAAAGCTCCCTAATCCTATTCAAAAGCCAGAGGCAGATCCAGGAACTTCTGAATGTCGTTGAAGCACATCCACCACTTGTTTAGCATTTGATATAATATAGACTTTCTAACAACTCCAAGAAGAAAAATTTTCAAGCACCTGCATAATGGCATTTCAGCTTGTATTACAGATGCTACAGTTTTAGTTCGGCCACCTATAATTTTTAAGTAGGTTAAGTTTGGGGACAGAACTCTACATCCAAAACTGTATAAGAAGTTAGCTAATTTTCCTGCATCAATAAAGACAATAAGCTCTGTATCATGTGCAATCGTGAGAGTGTGTTTATTGAAATTTGATGCAGAATTAATAACAGAAACAGGCGCTTGGGGGGATGTGGGGCAATTGTAAATTTGGTTTATATACTGTAAGAGAGTTGAAGGTTGAATTAGTTTTCCTCTAAAATATTTTTCGTTTCTAGCAAACCAAATAAAGTACAACGTGATTGCCAACCAAGTCAAGATCTTTTTAGCTAAATGATTGTCATGTACATGCTGAAAAAGATTATGAATGCTGATTACCCAAGATTCTTGAAAACTATTTGTGAAATTGATATTCCTGGGATTACCGAAAAGTACTACTTGAGTATAAGAGCAGTTCAAGAATAGGTGGGTAAGCGATTCCAAGTCAGTTTCACAGAAGATACAGATCTTTTGGTTATCCTCGATACTAAGCTTTTCTTTGACTGGAACATAATCATTGATAACTCTCTCCATAAGAACAACATGAATCTTGGAGCTGTATCTAATTTCCAAATGTGTTTAAGACAGAACTCGAGCTCTTGAGAAAGATTGGACTGAAGCCCAGAGATTTATTTTGATAATTTCTTTTAGTTGTAAATTTACCTAAGGAGTGAGGAAGCCAAATCCAAGTGACTAGGTTTGAGTCTGAATAAATAGGGGTTGCCTGGATGCACTGAGCTTCTCTAGAGGAAAACAAGGAGTTAATAAGGGTAGTGTTCCATTGGCCTTGATGGAGTAGGTGGGAAATATTCATGTGTCTAACATTTGGGGCCAAAGGGAAGGGGATTCAGGAAAAGGATTGGTTAGTTTGAATCCAGGGTTGATGAGAGAGAGGGAAATTTGAATTGGTATTAACCAGGGCACCACATTCAGAGGCTAACTCCCGGAATTCTGGATTGATGGATTTCCAATAGATGGATCCTTTTGCAGGAGTGGATGAAGGAAACATGCTTCTATTCTTGAGGTATTTTGACTTTCAAATTTGAGCCCAGAATTTATGTTGTTCATTAATATATTTCAGACTACTTTCTTTAACAGGCTTCGGTTAAATAAGGTTAGGTTTTTAAAACCTAATCCTCCTGCATTCTTTGGGAGAGTTAATTTGTGCTAAGCACACCAATGATAAGGATGAGACGTTTGATTAGAGGAACCCCACCAGAAATGTCGAAAAATTTTCTCAATATGATCTATGGTTTTTTTAGGTAGTTTGATAAGTGACATGGCATGGATGGGGGTTGCCTGAAGGATTGATTGGATAAGGACATGTTTTCCCGCTTGGCTTATGGCTGAGGCTCTCCATCTATTTAATTTGGCTCCAATATTATCTAGAATAAAAGTTAATTGGGCATGTTTGTTGCTTGACCAAAAAAGAGGAAGTCCAAGACGTCCGATATTTTCTGATAAAGGCTTTATTTTAAGTTGTTGTCTAATCAGTCTTTCAAACTGGGGGTGGATGTTTTTGCTACAATAAATACTAGATTTCTCATAATTTATTAACTGGCCAGAGATATTTTGGAAAGTATTCAGGATTTGGTTGAGATTTCTCATAATTTACTTCGCTTTGGTGACTTGCTCTTACATTGCCAGTGCTTGATGCTACTGGTACCTTCGTCTTCCTACTTCCTCTTCTTGCCTTGTTGTATTTCTAATTGGGACCCAAGGGCTTCCTCTGCCTGAATGAACTTATTAGCATCATCGAGGAAGTTCTCCATTGTCTTTGGAGGGTTCAACTCGAGGTGCCAACGAAACTCGACGTGTTGAACTCCCTTATGGGCTGCACTAAGCTACACAGCTCGGTTGAGGTTGGGAATTTGTAGACATTATGCATTAAACCTCTTGATATAGCTACGGATTGACTCATTCTCCCATTAGATCACGTTCAGAAGGCTCTGTGCAGATTTCAAGCACTTCTTACTTGTGATGAAGTAGGCAATGAATAGGTCTACGAACTGTGTTTAGCTCTTGACTAAGCCCATCTATAAGATTTTGTACCTTGTCCTGGTGGTACCTCTAAACGTTGTTGAGAACACCATACACAAGCTTGGCTCATCTGCTCCAGCGAGTAATATCAAGGCCTGGAAACTGTTGACGTGGTCATTTGGGTCGGTGTTCTCGTCATACGTCTCTAATGCAGGTGTCTTGAAGCCTTTTGGCCTTGGGGCTGAGAGGATTTCTGGTGCTAGGGGGGAGGGCCGACTCAACAAAATTGGAGCCGGTTGTGCAGCTATCGAACTCACTTCCTCCCTTGACTTGTCTACTGCTACCGATGGACTATTCTTTTTTAATAAAGGCTTTATTTTAAGTTGTTGCCTGATCAGTCTTTGAAACCGAGGGTGGATGTTTTTGCTACAATAAATACCAAATTTCTCATAATTTATAAACTAGACAGAGATATTTTGGATTGTAAGAAGATTTGAGGACATTCTTGGATTGTAAAAATTAAAATCTTAAAAAAAAAACCAAAAACAACCTCCAAAACTTAAGATTTTAAAGGTTTTTTCAACTTTTTACAAAAGAAATTGCAAAAATAAATACGTTTTTCAATTTATTCGATAGTATATTACAATATTTTGTGTCTTTTTATGCTTGGAAATGCTTATATATATTTGTGTTTCAAATATATCTATTTAACTTTTAAAAAAAATAACAAAAATAAAATAAAATTTTATATTTTTGGCATAACTTACCCATAAAGAATAATTGTGTCATAGATCTATGGGTGATCTACCATATCCATAGATCTATTGAAATTTCTAAAATATTCATTTTTTATTTTTTGTAATTTTTTGAATAAAAATATTTATTTTTTCAAATTTAGTATAAAAACATTTATTTTTGTAAAACTAAAATTTTTTATTTTTAATTTTTTTTGTAATTGTAGATTATTTATTTTCTCAAATTTTTGGTGTGATCTAACCATAATGTTTATCATATTGTAAATCTTTGGATGATCTACTACATCCATAAAATTATTTTTCTGTTACATTTTATATTCTTGACTTTTGTAATAAAAAATAAATTAATTGTTTGAACAAGAAATAAATAATTATTTAAAAAATTACAAAAATTTTTTCATTAAATAATTATTAAGCTTATATTTTGTAGTTACAACCTTATTAGAGAATACCCTTGTGTTTTTCCACGTTGATTATGACATTTTTTTCATAAAAATCTCTAGAGGATGTGATTTTACGTATATATGGCTCATTTAGGCCCTATATTTAATGTCATTGATATTTTTAAGAATTATTGAAATATCTATAATGTTTTCTTATGTTTCCATGCACATCTTAATTTTTTATTTGTATCCATGTTTATCCAAAATGTATCCCAATACATCTATTAAATTTGCATTTCCGATATGCTTGGTGCTTTCAATACTTTAAACCTTTAATATAATATTACATCAATAATCACGTTTTCAGAAGCTCAACGGTTCAAAGGTTTTAAACCGTTCGGTGTGAAACTCCATCGATGAGGTTTTACACCGCAAACAAAACACAGCCTTATAGTTTTGCTTGCATTGAAGAATTATTCAAAAGAATAAATAATCAGTGATTAGTTGAAAATGTCAAATAGATACTTGTTCAAACTAGAGAAATTCCATTAGTCAAATTGCCTGACATGACATATAGCAACTCAGGTGCCCTATCAATTATATTTGATAGGATCCTCGTTAGAAAACTGAAATCAAATGGTTAAACTCAGACAATTCATTTCCTGCTTGAATTCAGCAGGTTTCACCGGCAATGAATAAAGACATGACTTTATAATTTTTAAAGTCGCTATCCACAACAATCAATATACTCTATAATAGTAGTATACTTTTACGGTCGATATTCTGATTTAAGGAGCAGGGCACACTCTGGGTTTTGGCTTAACCTCCACTTCATTTATACTGCGCACAAAGATTGCATCCGGTTCATGCCTGCAAATACACAAATTGAATGAATACTCTCATGTGTTTGATTGTATATCAGGGNGGGGGGGTGGCAAGGCTTTTAGGTCAGTATCATACGGCCTGTCTCCTTCTTCAAATGTATAACTGGAGGCCACAGCTAATAAACGACCATCTCTGCTGAAGGATAATGCTGCAATGCTTGTAGGGTATTTTGTATACTGCACAAAAGTAAAATTTAAAACCTTGCCATGTACAAGTTTACAAGTGAAGAGAGAAGGGAAGCCTTCAAAACTGCAATACTACCTGATATAGCCTCTTCTTGTTGTTGCCATCCCACACATTGACATATCCATCACAACCTCCAGTGGCAAATGTACCGTAGCTGCCACATGTGGAAGCATAGACAAAAAAATGAGTCTTGAACCAATTACTCAATGAAATGGGAAAGCAACGCCTACCTTTAGGATTGAATTTTTACCTCCACAAAGAGACAAGACTAGTAAGCATCAAACAAATAATCAATGAGTGACCCAGTTAACTATATTAATTCTTGGATGGACACTATCCAACCACCCCACCCCCACCCCAACACAAAAAAGGGTTCACAATATCAGATAAACTTAACTTGGCTAAGCCTTAACCAAGTTGATACCAAGATGAGTATCAATATGCTAATCCAATCTACGGCTTATATATCTGTAACTGCTCAAATCATTTCTTATCAGACATTCTTTTGTCCCTCTTTTCAGAGCCATTGTAGGTGTGCTATCCAATTCACATAACAGAACCATCTCAATCAAATGTTCTCCATGTTTTTGAAGCTACTTCTAGGTTTCCATTTACATGTCATCCTTCTTGATCTTGTATCTCTCCAACAATCCATCTTGACAAGTCGCTTACGTTACACTCAGTCCTATAGTTCCCCCACTGAGAAAGGGAAAGACTTACACAGGATGGAATGCAATTGCATTGACAGGATAGACTGTGTCTCTACCAGCCTCTGATTTTCGGTGGCACTTGAAAGCATATCTGCAAGGAGCTTACTTCCATCATTAAACAGTAAAGAATAGTTTGAGAAAAATGCAAGCTAGGGTAAAATTAAGCTTAAATTTTCATGTGAATAGTGCCCTTGTAGAAGCTTGGCACAAGTGCTTAAGCTTAGATCATTTTAAAGACAGCTAAGAGATATATTCAAAAGCCAACGGCAACATATTGTGATGCCTAAAACAAGTGGCATCTCCTTGCACATTGTATTAATTAAAAGAAAGAAAAGAACAACAGTATTTGAGAGCAAGGGATCTCCAATTGTGTGGTGCAAACAGATTAAAAGACACAAGTCGGGTAAAGCCCCATGTAAACAGGAAAAGGGAACTCAACATCAATATTATTAATCCTGTAACAAACAATTCCTCAAGGATAATGGCATACTTCTTAGCTTGACCAGCCTCAGACAGATCGAAGAACTCCATCGCAACTCGTCCTTCCACTGAACTAAGAGCAAAACCTGCATACAATGCCCCAAGTCAAGAAAATGGCTTTTCAGCAATGAGTACAAGACATAACTCAACTCAACTCAGCCTTAACCTAACTATTTGGGGTCAACCGAATACAAGATATGGAAGACATGCACAAAACAACCAGAACTGCTTCACCTTACCTGCCTTTTTTTAACTGCACCAACACCCTTGGATTTAGGGTCATGTTATGTTGGGTTGCTGGTATTGAAATACATTTCCCAGTGCCTCAAGCAAAGCTAATTTTTATGCACTTAATTGAAATAATTACAAAGTGCATAACTGGAATATGAAACAAACTTGTTCTGAAAAACATCATATCCAAAATCATAGAGAAATTTCAGTCGAATCAATCATGGATCATATATGCATTGTATATCAAAATCTAAAATTTAGACAGAAAATTTACCTCATTTTCAATTTGCATTCCTTACACACCATATTTTAAAGTTATGATGGATCTTCACCAAGGCTCATCACTAGTCATTGTTTATGTGCACTAATCATAGATGTATTTATTAAGCATATTCAAAGGTCCCATGGTGCTTGTTGTTTGCTGATGGCATTGTATTAATTGATGAAACTAACAAAGGATTAAATACAAATTTAAGCTTATGGACAAACTCTTTAGAGACAACATTATTATAGGAGTGCAAATCAGGGTAAGCTTAGGATTGGAAACTAATAGATAACTCAAATATGACCTCTTCTGTTATCTTGGTTTGGAACATAAGAAGAAGAGATTAAGGAGGATGTTGCCCATAGAATTAGAGCAGGAAGGACATAATGGAGGGGTGCATCCATGGTCTTACATGATAGAGAATACCACTCCAGTTAAAAGGAAAACTCTATAGAACAGTTGTAAGACTAGTAATGCTGTATGGAGCATAGTGTTGGGCAGTCAAGAAACAATATATTCAGAAAATGAATGTGGCAGAAATAAGTATAGGGTCAGAAAATGAAGTCACCTGGAGGAACCTATGAATAGCTCCAATAGGTGATAGAATGAGAAAAAGTAGACTAAGATGGTTCAGTCACGTGCATAGAACAACATCTACTGTACCTGTAAGAAGAAGCAATCTGTTGCAAGTTAAAGGGACTATAAGGGCTAGGGGCAGACCAAAAAGGGCATCAATTGAAGTAGCAAGAAATGATTTAAGCAGTCATGATTTAACAATGGATATGACACGAAACACAATGGAATTGCGAAACAGGATTCATGCAGCCGACCCCATATAGTAGGGATAAGGCTTAAATGAGGTCCATGAGGATGATATGATCAAGCTCAACCTTACAGTCAATCAACTAAAAGCATTCTTTTGACTCAGATGTTGATCAAAAATAAACTTGGGAAATATCTTTAAATAGGTTTTATATACCCTACATACAGCTTCAGTCTAGTAAGAGTTTTGAAATGAAATTTCTTTCAAAAAGAGAAATGAGATGCAAAACTAGGTTAGGTCCTAGTCAATTTTATCTAAATCCCATGAATTGGATATATTGTTTCTTTATTAGTATGAATTGAATAGTTTTTTGCACAATATGTTCAACATCATAAATCATAAGATTTTGACAAGCTACAAAATCAGAGATAAGAAATATTATGAACATTACACTGAGCTACCTCTAACGAAACCTTCTAATGCAGAACATGATGAACTGGATCAAGAAATAAGAAATAGCATGGCAAAAACAAGAAGCCAAACATGAAGAGGAATTCTTTCTAACTACCAAAAGCACGAGAAAAAAAAAATAATTTCAGATATTATAAAATACTATAAAAAATTGAAATGCTCAGATGGGTTACCTGTTCCATTGGGATAACAACGTACACATCTAGTTTGATGTTTCAGTGATGACTCCCTTTTTTGCTCTGGTTGAGACATATTCCGCAGATCATACACATTGACATGTCTTCCTGCAGTTGCTACCACTAAACGGTGGCCAACAAGAGATATAGAATAAACACGCTCAGGCTGTGGGTATGCCCCAACAAGTGCCCGCTCTTGCCCACTTGCACCTCTTGGATCCCAACATTTCAGTGTTTTATCCCAACTACCAGTGATGACTTGTCCTAAAATCACGAATTATAAACATATTATGATGAAATTTATTCACTTCATAACCGCTTCCAATAAAAAAAATATTATTCACTTCATATGAAAATCACCCCCAAGATCTCATCTTTCATGGCTATGCATGCACCCTAATTGAGGGCTGAAAACAAATCCTAATTCTATTAGAATTTGAGCTTTCTAATCTTTGACTAGTTAGCAAATCCCCCAGCTTAACTCTAGAATTTTCATAAGTCAATTTTCAAATTACTCAATTCCTGGGCACTTTAGAGTTTGACTTGATTTCTAAATTAACACTTGAATACTTACTGAACTTAGATGCTTAGCAAATAAGAAAACATATACCCTCAGCTATCTGGGATCTTGAGAGCAGTAAACTGGATACAGTCCCAAAGAACATATAAAAAAATTAATCAACCAGCAACATCTTTACCTCCACTTGTTGGTCATGCATGCCTCTTGTTGAATGGTAGCTAATATAGACTTAGGGCCTGTTCGTTTCCTCTTAAACTCTTATCTCTTAAGAAGAATCTTTTAACTTTAAGAGAAAAATGGTTGTTCGTTTCCTCGTCTCTTATCTCTTAAAGTGTAATCATACAACTTCTTGTTTTCCAATGATACCCCCAAAAAGACAAACAAAAACTCTCATATATGGGGTCAAAATGGATATTTGATAATTTTCAGAATTCAGAATTCAGAACAACATTCTCTGCATTCAAAGTTCAAAGGAAGGAAAAATTCACCAATACCAATATACCTCTTAATGTAATTATTGCACTTTCAGATATAAGACTTCAAAGCAAACAAACAGGCCCTTAGTTCTTCCCACATTTGACTTTGCCTTGACAGTCAATTTTTTGAATCATATTCCTACTCTGTGGGTAGGAAAACTTATTGCTGTCATCACTAAGCAAGTAGTCAATAGTGGAGGGAACCGTAGCAATGATGGAGATGATTAAAATGATTGCATGAAAGGATTATCCATTCATCATCACCATCAACAATGATGTCATCATTTGTTAATATTGTTCATTCATTCATCCTAGTAAAAAACCTTCTTAAAAGGCAATTAACACTATAAAATCATTTATTTTTGTGTAAGGATTAAGAATTTAAGACCTTAACATGGATTTGTTTGGGCTTGCCTTGAGAGGCTTGGTACAAAGGTGGCTCATAGAATCAAAAACGCAAGATGCTTTACATCACATTAACTATTTGAAATAGTGCAATTGAGGAAAAAAAGAAATTGTGTGTTTTACATGTTTTATATGTTTGATTTTCTTTTTAAATTTTTGTTTGAATACACTTTACATGTTATGCTTATGCATTTTAATTTTAGATAATAGGTTTTTTAAAATATTTATTTTAAAATTAAATTTTATATTTTTATTTATATTATGATTAGTATTTTTTTAATTTTTGCATTTTTTTGAATTTTTTAAATTTTTAAATTTTTTTTTACTTTTTTTACCATTTTCTTGTATTTTTGTGCCTTGCTTTGAAAAGTCACGTGCCTCGCCTTGCACCTTACACCTCAAGCACAAACTGCCCCTTGTACTTTTAAAACACTTGTAACAAGATAGGTGCAAAGAGAATAGCCCATTTACCAAGGAACAACACATCAAATATTTTACTCAGAATTCTGATTATAGTGATTTGTTACATGTGGAATGGGCCAGAAGAGCTACGAGTAGACCAAAAAGGACATGGGTAGAAGTTGTAAGAAATGATTTAAGCACTAATAATTTAACAGTGGATATGACTTTAAATAGAATAGATTTGGTGAAACAGGACTCATGTAGCCAGCCAACCCCATATAGTTGGGATAAGGCATGGATGACGATGATGATTCTGACTATGGTGATTGCACATAGCTGGCTAGGAAAACATATCAGAAAAGAACTTTTGATGGAGAATATTGAGGATAAAAGCACTGACACTCACAAGACCCATGAGTATATGATGTCAATGCAATCAGAAATTCTTACACACATGGATGTCTAAGCAGAAGAATACTTCTTTTGTTCAGATTAAACACAATGAAACAAGTACAAACCTGCTGCATAAGAGTATTCAACACAACAAACAGGAGCATCATGCCTTCCCAAAATATCCTCCTTGCCAGAGCTAAAAACATACCTAAAATAATGATTGTAACATCATCATTATTTTGGCATCATTAAAATTTAAATTTGACATGTAATCCTAAACTAGACAGGAACGTTATGAACTAGGACAAATAAAAGAGATGAAATAATCAAATATCAACTTCTGTAAATTGAATAAAATGATACAGGATAAAGGAATCATAATTTATAAGCAGTATATAGAGAGACTTACCTTGAAGGAGAAGAATAGTGAATATTGGATAGAAGGTGCTAATAATGAAAACTAAAAGAAAAGGGAAGGAATAAAAGTATAAGAACAAAAACATAAGAATGCACTACAGAAATAAATGCCTTTTTATTCACAATTTAGATCACCTGAGAGATGCCAATGCCAACCAAAATCATTGAAACGCCACCAAAAAGTGCAAATTGTTACCAAAACTTACAAGCTATCTTCACTAATTCAACCTAAGTATAAACAAGAAAGGAACACTGAAGTACTGAACAATGCAAAACAAATTAGACATTAAGTTATTGAACATATAAGAAGTGCCTAATTTCAAGTACACGTTTTCTGTATCATAATGATTATCAAGGAATAATGAGCTTCTGGCCATAGGAGCCCTTCTTCGAATGTATAGAATCACTTGAAAAAATGATTCAGCATGGTGTAACATGAAAATGATGTGGAATTGCCAAAAAATTTTGTGAGGTGGATGCTGATAATTTGTGTAAGCAAGAACTTCTCAAGGTAAAGAGGAATTGCTGTATGGCATCTTATGTTAAAACTTTGTATACTCAAGATAGAATTCCTGAAATTCAATTGAACTGGGACTACTTTCCATAAATATTTGTATATTATATATGTATATGTGTGAGAACGTGAAATACAGTAACCTACCTTATAATGAACATTTTATGAATGAATAATTCCTACAATCTAGGACAATTGGAAATCTCCAGCATCTACTAAATGACAATTTTTTAGAGATTTTGTGTGCATATGTAGATATAGATATATGTGTATGTGGATATAACACGAGAGAATATTGTTGCTTAGTACGGAGTAGTTGAATATTAAAGTGTAACAGAATCCCTTAAGAAATATCATATTGAGCATCAGAGGGTCCCTTACTAATATCAGTTAAACCTTTATGTTTCTTGAAATTTGATATTTAAAAGAATAAAGAAGATTAATAGAGAGATCATATCTCATTTAAACTTTGTCTTTGCCATTGAAAAGGAAAAAAGAAAGGAAAAGGATAGAAGTTTCTTCTTTTGCTAATTGCAGGTTCTAGACACACAGACACAAGAATCACAATCCAACACATATCTAGAGTCTGACATGGCAAGATGAAAAAAAAACATGGATTGAAGGGCACTCTACATAAATGTATACACCAGTGTTTTAAAAGGTGGGGGAGGCGTACGCCTAGAGGCGCGCCTCCAGGTGAGGCACTCCCAAAACGCCTTGAGGCGTATGCTAGAGGCGCTGACACCTCTGAGGCGAACGCCTCTTGCGCTTTTTTCATGAGGCGTGCTAGAGGCGCACACCTCATGCGCCTCATGCACATCTGATATAAAAAGACAAAAAAAAAAAGAAAAAAGAAGGAAAGGAAAGGAAAGGGAAGGGAAGAAAAGWTAAGGGGAAAGAAAGTGGTTTGCCCCCTACCCCTTCGGCTGGGGGGCGACCCCCCCCCCCTTTCAACTAATGTTATGCATCTTTATTCTTCTTAATATAAAAGATTTTTATTAAAAATAAAGAAAAAATGAGATCCCCCCTTCCTCTTCATCCTCCTCCTAACCCCCCTCCTCTTAAGGAGGCCTAACCTCCTTGTGTTCGGGAGGTTTATGCCTCTTGCGTTCTAAACTACACCTCATGCCTCTAGGTAGTGGAACGCCTCGCATCACGCCTCCACGTTTTAAAACATTGGTAATTATTCCATATGTTTTGCATTCTTATAGTTTATAACCACAAAAATGGTCTAGAAGCTTATGGTTGCCCTCCAGAACATGTTATAGATAAAATGACATTCATCATGAAAATTAACTATTCATTTATATCACCTAAGCATAGAGAAAAAGAAAACAAAAACATACATCATGTACATTTTCAGTACATTAGCTGTTCATTTATGTCAAATGGGCAAGGAGAAAAAAGAAGATGTCCAAAAGAATTCATCAAAAATCAACTATGTCAGAACTCAGAATCACATGTGCCCTACATGGATACTTCATCCATTTAGGAGAGTCCATGCAACACCATCCAATTCGCACCAAGTCCACCATTGTCTTATGCTTCCACCCATTCCACCCTTCCTGTCCCTCACCCTCCCTTAAGTTAGTCCACTTGCTAGCAACTTGAACTGTTTTTGGTCCCTTATCTAGTAGTTTGTGATTTTATTGGCCCTGAAAAATTAAGGTTCTTTATCTAATGTATCTTCCACTTTCACTGAATATGATTGTCTTGAAGAGGAAAAGGATGATAATTTTCTTAAAATGATGGATTGGTTTTCTGTAGGAAGCAAATAGCCAAATAGTACTGTTTTGAGGTTATATTATCTGCAAATGAAAGCAGCAAAAGAAAAATATGAATTATACACAGAAAAAAAATATTAAGAACAATTTTCCTTCAATAACAATTATGTATGATTAACAATCTCTAGTAAATAACAAAATCCCTTTCCAGCAACATAATTAGTCTATTAGAGGGTTACTGTATTAAAAAATGGGGTTTGTTTTTTTGTAGGAAGCAAATGCTACTGTTTTGAGGTTATGTTACCTGCAAATGAAAGCAGTAAAAGGAAAAATATGAGGCCGACACGGAAAACATATATACAAGAACAAAATTTCTTTCATAACAAATACTTGTGACTAATAATTTCTAGTAAATAAGAAAATCTCTTTCCAGCAACATAATTAGCCTCTTAGAGGGATACCTTAATAAAAATCAGTTTTGATTTTACTTTCACCAACACGCATTGCACTGACATTAGACATTGAACCAATCAACATCTAAACTAATTTCTTGTTATACCAGTTAGAAAGCAGGTACATGCATAATATTGATTTCAGTTCTCTGAAACCCAATCAGAACACATCCTAACATTAATTCACACAAAACCTAATGGGGTATATGTAATATGTTACAACCGGAATTGTAACAAAGAAATTCCTGGGATACACCTAGAGTTAATATGAGCTCTCTAGGTATGACCCAGAACCACGAGAGGGGGAGAGAGAGAGAGAGATCTGAATTCTTGAAACTGTTATTTCTTCTTCAATCGATTATATCAATTGGGTTTTACACACAATTTGAGAGGGAAAATCTGTTACAACTCAACTAATCTTTAATGGCTTGAAACAAACTCTAACTAATTCTGTTTACAACTTCCATCTCCACTTTGCTGTTCTTTAGCTGGATGAGTTAAGGCTGCGGTTATGACAGTATATCTCAAAAAGACACATAGAAAGGATGAGATTCTTTGCAGAATGCATGAGAAAAAAATAACAATCAATAAGTAGCTTCCACTTGTAGGTTGCAACTAGTGAAGTTGTAAATCTGTGGAATTTCATTCCAAGAACGTGGGATCAAACCCTGTATTCACCGACTAAAAACTGGCACTGGACCCGCTTTCCCGTGAAAACAAAAGGAAGCATTGTAAAACCAATTGACAATTGCGAAATTGCAGTTTTTATGGTACGAAGCTCCAACCTCAGCTCAAACCAGAATGATAAATTCTCACTTACCTCCTGACAGTGTTATCTACACAGGCGCTAAAACCCGAAGAGTCATCGTGGAAACAGCAATCTAGAACTGGACCACCGTGGAAAAACTCTCCCCTCAAAACATTTGCGCTCGCATCATATAATCGAACAGTCTAGCCAATTGAAACAGACAACCATATTAAAAACACGAAATGAGACAAGCCAGTAAGAAAAAACGATCTAACTTTTATTTTATTCTTTGAGAAAGAGAAACAAGTACTCTATCCCATGAAGAAACGAGCAGATTGTCGCTGTGGTTGGAAAAGCGAAGGTTCGAAATACCATCGGAGGGAGGGTTGGATAGTTCCCTTCCGGCAGAGTTGGGAAGGACCCCAGTCATGGTCGTGCCTGGCTGAGTTTAAAACTAGGGTTTTCCCCTGACTCCCTAAGAAAGTGGAAAGAAGAAGAACCAGAGTGAGACAGAGAGCGATTCAGATTTGGAAGCAGAGAGTCGGAGACTAGAGAGGGAATTCTTTTTGAGTTTTTGAAAACATAGGGACTCTGACCATCTCGAATAGATGCCGCGGGAACCGAGTTCTCATCTGCGCCCCACAATCCACTGACATCTAATTAGGGGAGATGCTCCCAATGGACGCTGAGATGTGTATGTGGGGCGCCGATGTGAACTCGCGGGAATTCGAATAGATAACTACGGATCGCAGTTGTTTCATGTGAAATTATTTATGATGCGGGAAAGACGTGGTATGAAGGAATTTTGACCAATCAAAACCTACCTATCATAGTTGAACCCATAAAGTACCCTTACGTTTCTCACAAAAATTTAGAATTCACTTTCGTTGGGTCTTATCGTTAATTGGCCAAAAGACTTTTTTGATCTTTAACTATTTTTCAAATCTTCAAAACATGTCAGCTGTTCATAAGAAGACCCAATCGGACCAAACCGATCAACCCGGACCGATCCAACTCGAGTCGGTCAGGTTTTCTTCAATAGCGGTCAGTTTCGGGTTGTAAAAAATCATAAATCGATGGTTCGGGTCGGTTTCGGTTTTCATGTGTAAAAATCAAAACCGATCCGAACCGAACCGACTTAGTAGTTAGTTCCTAGTTAATAGTTACAACCTACTTAGTTCCTACTTAACTAAGTTGTCTCTATCCTAGTTATAACCTAACTTAATTTCTAGTCTTCTAGTTAGGATTGACATTAATGGCAAGTATTGTAAGACAACTGGACAATAAATTTTTTGGAAAAGTTTAAAGAAAAAAATCAAAGGATCTAGTCGGGTCTTCTCAGTAACCCGACTCAACCCAACCCGTGAACAGCCCTACATGTCACTCTCCATTTTAATCCAAAGTTAAGGGGATTATCGCCGAGGTGCTACTGATGACTTAGGAATTTTACGAAAAAATCCTTCTCACAAAAAATCTTCAACATTAGCTTTCATTAATATGGATAAGTGGAAAAATTAGATGGGTGGATGAGAATGAATGTGATGTTTTGGAGTACTTTTATTTTTTAAAAATAAGTATTTATTCGAATAAGTATTTATTTACATTTGACAATTAAAATAAATACTTATTTAGTATTGGGCGTTTGATGATATTTTTCCTTCAATAAGCACATAAATAAGTGCTTGTAACTCTTTTGTCCTTCATTTTCCTTTAAATTTTGAAATTATACCATATGGGGTGTCTCTCTCTCCAAATCTTCTACTGACTTCCTTCACAAAAGTTTTCGCAATTAAAAACCTTAGGCTGACACCCCCTGTTGGAGATATACCGTTGGCCATCATCAACGAATATTCCGTGACCCCAACCTCCAGACTGCAAAGGAATGTACAGGTACACCTCACCCCCACTAAACTCAGACAAGTCCGCACCGGAGTTGGAGAGGTTATTGGATTCTACAACCATACCAGACGTCACCAGCCCTAAAAAAGACCATTGTTGAAAAAGCTATTGGCTTCCACAACCATGCGTTGGAACTCCAATCAATAGTCCTAAAATATTGTTGCAATTACACATAAAAGGGAGTTTTGATAATCTCACAAGCGGCCAATGACTAGGGGTGTTAATGGTATTCGAAAATTTAATTTTGAATTCAATATTCGACATAATCAAATTAAATTTGGATAATTTGAATATCTAATCGATCGAATTTAGATATTTTATTCTTACCGGATAGTTAATCGGATTCGAATTTGGATATGACCTGATTCGATTCGATAAATATCTGAATTCGACTGATTATTTAATTCTTATATATAATATATAATATATATAATAGTTAAGTTATATAAATAATTTATATATTTATATACTTTATATCAATAAAATATTTATTAATTATCTAAAATAATTAATTAATCGAATTCGAATCGAATCGGATATTCGCATATTTAATCGGATTTGAATTCGGATATTAATTTTCAATATCCGTCGATATCGAATCGAATTCGGATATCGGGTTTTCTAATCGAATTCGAATATTGTTTGATCCGATTCGAATTCGATCCGTTTATACCCCTAGTAAGGACGATAGATTCTCATCGGCGGCCACAATTTGGTTGCAGAAGCTTTTTCTGCATTCTTGATCGAAACCATGATCCATAGCTGCAAGTAGGGGTGGATTCGAGCCAAGGCGAGTCGAATAGTACGAGGCTCGAGCTTGGCTTGCCAAAGTAGTACAAGGCTCAAGCTTAATTCAAGCTAGAACCTTAAGCTCGAGCTTGACTCGAGTCAAGAACTCGTAAGCTCGAGCTCAATTTGAGAAAAAAAATTATAAAAATAAAAAATTATATATAAAAATATATTTTATTTGATATTTAAAAAATTAAAAATTATAATATTTTTATTATATATATTATTTTCTATAAGTTTATATATATTATATATATTCACTCGAGTACCTCATGAAGAGCTCGGCTCGTGGCCACCCCTAACTGCGACAATGGAGAAGTAGAAGAAGCCCAACGTTTTACATTTAAAGGGTGTAACCGGTATTCTAAAAATTGACTAGGGACAATTTTGAGAGAAAACATTTAATAAGTGATTATTATTTAAGTACTTATTCTGGGTTTATTTCCAAAACACCAATAAGTGCTCAATGGTGTGGTCCCAACCCAAATAAGCACTTATTTTTAAGCACTCCCAAACATGGCCTAGGATGGATGAATGGAAAAACTAGAAAGGATAATATTAAGAATTATGTCATTCATAGGAGGGTAGGAAATAACTACAGTAGGGAATAAAATGAGAAAGAATAGACTAAGGCTGCAATTGGCATTCCTTATTTTAAGAACCTATCTCCTTTTTGCCATTAAAAAATCAGTGTTCATGAGCATTTTAACTACAATAAGGAGATAAGTCCTTAAAATAAGGAATGTCAAATGCAGCTTAAGATGGTCTAGACAAAGTGACTTGTAATGCATTGAAGGAGCTAAAAAGAGCTCGGGGTAGGCCAAAAAAAGACATGGGTAAAAGTAGTAAAAAATGATTTGAACATTTATAATTTAACAGTGGATATGGCTTTAAATGAAATAGGTTGGAGAAACATGATTCATGTAACCGACTCCATATAGTTGGGATAAGGCATGGATGATGACGATGATGAGTTTCTGGGATCTTATCGATCTCATGTTCAACTCCTTTCCTAGATCCCGCTCTCAAATATAATGGAACAAGCCCTTCTTCCATAGCAAGGATGGCCTGATCAACGACCCAGCTAGAGTAGTGCAAGTGATGGAGACATATATACTCTCTCTCCTACCCCTTTCCCTCTTTCGTCTTAGAATTTTGAAGTCTAAACCCAAACACTCAAACAACAGAACCCCACAAATATACTGAAGTTCAATTGCATGCATCAGCATCAAGTTTGGGAAATGAAGAAGAAAACTGAAAACACTATATATAAATGAAGAAAGGACAATGGACTAGAGTCTGTAGTTTATTCCAAAAGAAATCTCGAGGAAAAAGAAAACACACTGTTTTCTAAGGAAGCTTAAGGTTGCATTTGATTTGATTGAAAACAAGAGATAAACAGAATGCCGAGGGAAAGTTTTCAATAAATTTTGTGAACTTAGGCTCAGTTTGGAAGGAGTACAAATACAAATATGTAGAATGCAAAACTATGTATTTTGTATGTATTTGTACTGTACATAATTGCATTTGTACTTTTAAACTGAGACTTAGGAACTTTCTCCCAACTTTTTGTTTCTCTCTTGTTTTTTATCAAACCAACCATAGACTAAGTATGAAGTGAAAGATCCTCAATTGGATTCTGACTACTAGATCTTTTTTAGCTACAAATTTTCGAGTTGATGATTTGTGCTGCTATAAATTTGAAATATCCATTTTCCCACTACCACTTGGTTCCTCTTAGGGGTGTAAATGGACCAGATTTGGGTTGGACTCCATTCAAATCAAAATCAATTTCAATGAGTTGGACAATCTAATAAGACATATTGAATTTGATCAGTTCAGACTTAATTGTCCAAAGTATTTATTGGATTGGATTGGACTTAGTTCATCTATAATGGAGAGTGGGTTGGGTTGAAACAATGCCCATTGACAGAAGAAAAGAGTGAGGGTATTAATGGACCAGGCTTGGGTTGGTCACAATATAAATTAAAACCAATTTGAATAGGTTGAACTGCCCAATAGACATCAGATTGGGCCAATCCAGTCCAAAATATTTATTGGGTTGGATTGGACCTGGTCCATCTATAATGGACCTATGTAAGACCAGATTGGGTTTGGACCAATATCTGTCCATTGACAGCCCTCCCCACAATCCTCTTCAAAATTAGAGAGTTTAGAACAGCTGAACAGGTACTAACCTTACAATGAGTGCATCCTCTTAGAGATTTAGGGCCTGTTTAGTTTGTAAAAAACAGGGTTTTGGAATTGGAATTGGAATTAGAATTAATGGTCTATTTGATTCCAACTGTTTGCTTTTGGGTGGAATCAAAATTTCATTCCCATTCTTAGTAAAATGGTATCCCCTCCTACTTTGAGAATAGGAATCTATTCCAATTAATTTCGATTCCCATTTGAACCAAAAGGATTAATGGAATAGACCATTTCTATCTGATTTCGATTCCAATTCTGATTCCAACTGTAAAGCAAATGAGACCCTTAGAGTTGCTATGAGGTTCCCTCTTGAGCTGCAAACATAATGAAATGCATAGGCCATAGAGGATTAAGACCCGGCTTTAAGTGGTCAGCCTATTTGAGATTAACTGCACCCAAACCAATATATCACTGATGGATGTTCTGAGAGTTGAGACTGAGTATTCTTTTTATGTACATTCTTTCTAAATTATAATTAGTGATGGTGGATCCGGATCCTCTGCAATGGGTCACAACTCACAAGTCAACTGAGAAGACGCCCACATAGCTGAGACCTGAGAATCTGAGACCAACAATGGTGATGGGCTTTATTTGGAAATTGAAGCCCACAAAGCATGCAGACCTGCAAGGGCAACGTGGGAAATGCCTTCCTCATGTAAGTGGAGAACTGAATAGAATTATTAGGTCTGCCATTACTATTGAGAACTAAACTCTGGAATATGGATCTCCATGTATTGGGCCTATTGGCTAGGTGGATTGGGGCATAAGGGACGTTGAGGTCTTTCATCAATTGCATCATATAAGAGCCCAGTTATAAGAGAACCAGCATTGACAATAGATCTTATTTTGGATTATCATGTATGGTACATATTTGTATTTATGTTCTTTCTAAACTGAGTTTTGGAAAGACTGTAAATACAAATATGTACAGTATAAATACAGCTTTAGAAAAACAAAAATGCAAGGCTTTGCATTCTCTATGTTTTTGTATTTACTCTTTGGCCCTGTTCACTTTTTTCGGTAAGTTACATATCCAGATAAATGTATTTACCCAGATAAGTATTTCCTAGGAAAGACCTATCCAGGTAAGTGCATTTACCTATGTTCTTTTATTTTTCATTTAAATAAGGTAATGGCCATTTTAGTCATAAAAATACATTATTACAATGGGCATTTTTGTCCCATTCAAATGTTGACAATCTCCTTGGGAAAGTTATTTACCCACCTAGGAGACCAGAAAAATAACATGGAATTCTGAAAAAAGAACATGAAATTCTTGGTCAATGGGAATCAAAATCCCACTGACCAACTTTCCCCCCTCTCAAAATCCAGAAAAAGGAAACCCCCTCTTTCCAAACTGAGCCAAAAAAATATGGAATGAAGAATTGGTTTATTCTATGTGTAAGCCAATGGACTCCACGGTGGTCGAGCCTCTGAATGTCCGAGGAGATGGCAATGGTTTTACATCAGTTGCACACTCCTACATACAGAATTCCAGCTATGGAGCTTACTCTTTTAATTGGAGTCGAATAACTGAAAAGTTTCACCAAAAAAAAAAAAAACTTCAATTCAGAAAATCCTTAAGGCTCAGTTAGTAAGAAATACAAATATGTAGAGCTGTCAATTGGACTGGATTTGGTCCAATCCGATCCAGTCCAACATTGGTCCATTTACAAATGGACTGGACCTATTCCGGTTCAAAACCCCATACAAACCGAATCCAATCCAGTCCAATTGAAATGAAAATGAACCAGATTGGACCCAATCCAATCCAAATTAAATGAAACTTTATAAATTAAATGAAATACGAATTTTCTTCAACTGACATTACAACTTCACTCAAATGCCCTCATTTTCTTATCCTTTCCTAACATTTTGAGGTGGTCACTGGGCATATTAAAGATTGAATGAAAGGTCTTCCAGCATATTAAAGATTGAAAAACAATTCCTTTGAGGTGATCACTGGGCATCACTCCCAAATGGAAGCATGGGATTGACCCTGCAGAATTGCAGGCTCTCCATGGTATGGCCAGTGGACCTGATGTGCACCCTGCAATATCCCCACCTGAGTTCCTACTAACACTAACCTGCTAGTTACAGGTCTAGCAATATCCTCAATGGGGGCCAAAGCCACATTATAGATCCAAAAACACTAACTTGCTAGTTACAGGTCTAGCAATATCCCCAATGGGGGCCAAAGCCACATTATAGATCCAAAAACAAGTAAAATGAAATTTGTTAATGAATGATATGATGAGGAGAACCCTTTAATGGAAAGCAAGCTTCTTATAGGAAGGAACAAAAAGATCCAAAATGTTGTCAATGGCAAGCATGAAGCAAGGGCCAATAATCTACTCCAGAGAATGACTGGTCGATTTATTGACTCCAGGTGCAAAATGGAATTTGAAAACACTAAATGAAAAACTGTAAATCATAATATAATGAAAATGTTCAAACAATTAAAACTAAACATTATACCAGATAAATGCCATCCACCACATGAATCCTATTTTGCTATTCTACTTTACCAAGGGCCATACATTTGGTAAGTTCTGAATCATAAGAATGTATCATACATGCATATGAATAATTGATGTATGGTTATGTGAATGTAGTTTTGGCGGACACTACACACTATCATTCAAAAAGATAATAAAAACTAGAATTTGATAGTAAATAGTGGTAATTAAAAAACACTTAAATAGATACATGTGCTGATTCAGAATCAATTTCAACGAGTAGAAGATGATTGTGAATTACTTCACTGAGAAAATTCTCCTTTCTGAATCAGCAAACAATGAGTTACACTATTCCAGTTTTGGTTACAACTAAAATGATGAAGGGAAACAAAATGTTTTCCTCCGAAAATAATACTCAATAAGGAATTAACTATTTCCCTAATTCCTCAGAAAATAAACAAAATGGTTTCCATCTCCATCTGCAATCAAACACCAAAAAAAATATCATTTCCTAAAGAAATTGTTCATATTAGCAGGACCATATTCCTGGTGCAACACTTGGTGGACTTCACCAACTTAGCCATTTGATCAAGTACCATCAAGAGGATGGATGAACAGCTGCAACCAGAGAATAAAAATTCTGAAACCACATAAACCATTCTCCAAACCACCCGAAAGAAGTTGATGTAGTATTTTCCATTAAAGGAATTCTTACGACATGTTCCGATGTTATGGATCCATTTGCCAGTCAGTGGGTGATGCACCGGTTTTCCACAAACCTGAATAGAGGTTGAGCAAATACCTGAGAATAGCAAATTTGTTAGGTTACAAACATGCATTACATAACAAATTAATGTAGCTTTCAAAGTTAAAACAAGAGTGTGATCTAGTGAGCTTTCTGATTGATTTTACTTGACTTCTGATCTGGTTCTGATAAATGGTCTTTTGCTTTCTCTTACTTGGCCCAGGTAGTGAGGTAGGTAAGAAGTTTTCACCTATGGGCTGTGATTGTCCAGCCCCTTAAATATGATAAAATTGCAGCATCTAGCTGCTCCAGAAAGCAGAAAAATAAAAAAGGTGTTGATTCACTATCTTTCCTTCAATTAGACACATTAGAAAATGGTAGAAACAATTCACTGTTTGTAGAGTTGTCTATAAGGCAATATTGAGAGCAGAATTCCTAATGGTTATTCAGCACATAACTTTGGAAGGCAATGAAATGGAATTTGCACCATAGCAAGGGTAAAGATAGAATGAACAAAAAATCATTGTTCGACTTGGGGCTACACAACAAGGCTAGAAGCACGAATACCAATCACAGGGGAAGAAGGGGTGGATATTGATCAGAATTTTTCTCATGAGATCCAATATAAATGTTATCAAGCTATGCTCGGAGAGACATTAAATTGTGAACAGCTACCATGTATGATAAATGGAAGACAAAACATTTTAATGATACAGGAGACAAAGATGTAGCACATTAACTCCCCCACCATCTAGTGTTTGGAGTCAAAAACCTTTTGATTCGTCCCATAAACCCACTCTCAGCCTCTCAGGCATGCCAGTGGTGCTGGTTGTTTGGGACAGTAGCAAAGTAACTAATACTTTGCATACAGAAAACTAAATCTTTAAACATTTAAGACAAGGCACACAGAAGCATATCCGTTATATTACTTCAGCTCATGCAGTTCTGTCACCTTATTTCAGATAATATGCATAGAAATTTTAACAAGAGAATCAAGATTTGTAAGCTCCACCACTCATAACAAGACTACAATACAAATTTCATGTAAAAAGTAAATGCTTGGCCCACTAAATAAATTGATGCATTTTCAAACTGAAACGAAATCTCATATGAGAAAATTGGAAATATCACTAGGATTCTCAAACTCAGAACAGAGAGAGCATGTCACAGGGAAAAAAAAGATTAAGAGAACTTCAATCCAAATATCCAATCCACTGTACTATTGGACTTTCCAACCTGGACCAAATTGGACTAGTCCAATCCAATCTAAATGGTATTGATTTGTTTCCCATTAAT